GGGTTTTATTGGGAGCCAGTCACATAGGCATGAATCACCTGCATGACTCACCTCAGCTACTCAGACTCCAGCTCCCCACCACAAAGACATAGTCACCATAAATCGCATTGTTAGTGTAAACTTTCTGATCAAATTGGTAGCCTGTGGCCCAAGAGCTCAGAACTTATCTGCTAGAAGCTGGCCAAACGCCAGTCCTAAATATAGGCCTTTCTCAGGAATGTGCAAAATTTGAGCAGCCCAGGCCTGCTGAGTTAACCCTTTCCTACACAGATGTAAAATTATATGATAGCTGAAGCCCCTTATAATTCTAATGTTTTATGAACAGATTAGTAACTCCCATCATAGATATTATAAAGAAGTTAATATTTTATTTCATCTTAAAATTGATTGGATAATTCTATGTGAAAGTTTAAATAAAAGAAACAAATTGTACTGATGCTAGAAAATAAAGCTGGATTGAATGTCTAAAAATAAAAGAATGTATGTCTTATACAAGTCAACACAGAATCCTGCTCACTGATGAATAAGCTTGCAAGTGGGAAGATGAAGATTTTTCAGACTTGAGTTATTTTAAGGAAATCTAAGGAAAAGAAACTACTTAAGCCCCATTTCAGAAGCTAAATTCAGGTAGCATTTAATTAGCTCAAGCTTTGTTTCCTATTTTATGTAGTTCCTCAGACCTCTTGACCATATGGCTTTCTGCCTAACCATGTTCAAGCCTGCTTCCATGCGCTTGAAGCAGAATATGAGTAAATTAAATTTTGTAGTCAAATAATGACCTATCATTAGAACTATTAAATCAATCCAAGAATAATAAAAATGATTGTTTAAAACTTCTTCCTTTAAAAGTATATTAAATATTATCAATCAGAATGTGTATAAATTTAGAGTTTAGAGCAATTAAGAAACGGTTTGTAAATCCAGGCACTTTACCATGAACTTCCCAAGTAGACTGCACAGCAGACTCTTAGAAGGATTCAGAAAGTCCATGGGTTAAATTTCGTCTTATCTTCTGAAGGGTGTACTAACGTTTGAGATACTGTCTATCTGTTTGTGATAACTTATAAAAAAAAGAGTTATTCTGAAAGACAATTCCTGACCTCTTCTGAATAAAAGTATAGGGGGAAGGATAACTTCATAATATATATTTTGTTGCACTTACTGCATTGTCGAATAAACCACTTTGATTTATTAAATTCCTCAGTGTCTACTTAGCGATAGTTGTGAAACAAAATTCTAGTTGTGGCACAGCATTCCTATTCATACACTTTTGCTGTTTAAACCATTTTAGAATTTTATATGAACTATGTCATAGGAGGTAGCATTTTCTTTTAACTACACATAGGGTTGTGTTTTAAATTAAGGTAAAAATGAATTGACCCAAAATACTGAGGTATGAGTGGTGTGATAAGGAAAGTTTAAGCTATCCAAATGCATCTAGATTTTGCTTTTATAGTTTTAAGCTACGTATTTAATTTGGGGAATTATTTATAGTACATGGCACTTGTCCAAATAATATGATGTAATGAATTACTTTATAATATGAAGATTGGTAGGGGATAAAAAGTATAATTTTCTAGTGCTATTGCAACAAATTTAGCAGCTTAAAGCAGTACAGATTTATTATCTTACAGTTCTGAAAGTTGGAAGTTTTAAACTAGGATGTTGCCAGGATTGTATCCCTTGTAGAGATTCTAGAAGAGAATCCTTTTCATGTTTTAGAGGTCACTTGCCTTCCTTGACTCATGGCCCTTTCCTCCGTATTCATCAAGGCCAGCAGCAGAGCATCTTCAGATCTCAATACCTTGATATCTCTCTCTTTTTCTCTCATCTATAACTCACACTCTTCTGCTTACTCTTATGAGGACGTTTGTGGTTATGTTAGGCCCACTCTGGATAATCCAGGATCCCCATTTTAGAATTCTTAACGTAATTACATTAGCTAAGTCCCTTTGGCCATGTAAAATAACATATTCACAGGCTCTGAGGATTACGACAAAATTTATGTATTATTCTTTCTCTTGTGCCCCCACATTTCTTTTAATTCTAGCTTTACAAATATATATATGCATCATCAATCCTTTTACCAAAATTATCTCTTTCTGGCTGAACTCTTCTAGAAGATTCCTCTGGACAGACAGATGTGTACAGTATTCCCTGAATTCCTTTCGATTCAAACTATTTTCTCTGGACTTGATTGTTGTAGAGCTGCTTGACTGAGTATAAAATCCTTGGCTTACACTTGCTTATATAGGAAATACTGCTCCATGCTTGCTTTGTATATTGTTCCTGATGTCTGAAACCAGCTTAATTTTTTCATTCTTGTAACTAAGTTGATCTTTTTGGCCATGAACTCTGAAGATTTTTTTCCTTTATCTTTAGAATCTAATAATTTTTTTTAACCTGAATAGGTTGCATTGTTGATTGTTCCAGGACTCTTTAAGCTAGGTAGATCGTAAGCCTTTTGTTTGGTTGGTTTTTTGTTGTTTTTTTTTTTTTTCTCATGAAGGTTTCTAGAACTATAGGGTTTTAAGTATTTGTTTTTTCTTATTTTTCTTTTTCATAGATTGCAGTCACATGTATGTGGGATAATCCTTTGCCGCTTTCTTTCTGTCCCTTTTTCTTTATCTCATTTTCATTTTCTTAGTAGTTTTCTTGACTTTCTTCATTGTTCCTTGTTGAAGTTTTCTTTAGATCCATTCTCCCTTTCTGAGATGGTTTTTCTTTTCTTTCAGTTTATTTCCTAAGCTTTATCAACTGTTGATGCATTTCTGTTTTTTTTCTATTTCTGTTCTTAGTGTTTTAATTTCTCATTTTGCATATATTTTGTGTAAGTCCCAAATGTTTGTTTGAGGCTCCCTAATGTTTGCATGTTTATGTTACAATTGTGTTTTTCATGATTAATTCTAGGAGAGAATCGGATAAAATGTTTTGATTTACGTTTTCTTTTCTCTTCTTGCATTAATTTTTAGGAATCTAACTTTTTTCTTCTCTTAATCCTAGTCATTTCTTAGGGCCACTTACGTTATTGTGGCAAAGTTTTATATATATTTTTTTAATGGATGATGAAAAGGAGGAATTGGTTTACATGTATTTTCTTTTGTTTCTGTAGGGTCTTAATTTCTCTTTCTTTCCTCTGCCTACACTGTTATACCTGAAGGGAAGTGCACAACCCCTTTTTATATAATTCTCGGAGCAGTGCTTCTTGAGGCTTCCTCCTTCAAAATCACTTACTTTGAAACCCTCCCTTCTCTGTAGACAATGCTGTGAATTACCAAGTCTCAGTGTTCAGCATTTTGACGCTTTGTAGTAGTTTTTGCTTTCTTGTGGTGCCTTTTGTTTGTTGTGAATGTATATCCTTCACTCTCTTCTTTTTCTCCCAGTATCTTAATCTTCCATTCTCTTGCTCTGTATATTCACAAATTCGTAGCAGCAGTGGGAGCTCTGCTGAATTTGGTGTCGGTTTCTCTGCTGATAGATATTTTGAAATTTATGGTATCCTTGATCCCCTAATAATGCTATGAGCATAGTTTTATTGGTGCTCCTTGTTGAATTTATTGTTTTGGAGGGAATATATGAATGGGTTGAGATTTAGGTAATACCATTATCTTCTTCAGTTATTTGAGTTCATTTTAGCAATGAAATGTAAGCAATTCACTCTTTAGTCTGTTTTCTTTTTATTTTCTTGCAGAGTCAAAAAAGATACTTGTAGCCAGCCATTGACAAAGTCAGGGCAAGTCTTAAAATTTGGATTTTTAACTATAATTTAAATAGTTTTATTAACTTGAGACTGCTTAAAGAAAGCGATTTCTTAAATTAGCTCATTAAACTTAAGACATTTTCAGACCAAATATGTCACATAATGAATTTTTTATATGTATGCACACATACAATTTAAAAAAAATGAGAGTCCATTATTTATGTACTGTTCATATGGATTTGTTTTACATACATATTTTTGAATTTATGTTAATGTACCCAAAATGAAATTGAGTTTTTACTCTCAGAAACAGTGCTTTCTGATCTTTTTGACATTGGATCATCATTATTAATAACTGATTTTTTTTCTATTCTACTCTCTTTCCAAAAACCCAGTAGAGCTCTTTCATATCAAATATGTGGTAATTTTTCAGAAGGGGTTACATAAACCAGTATGTACAAGAATAGTCATTACATTCTTAATTTATATAAAAAGATCAAAAGGTCAGAAAATATAGTAATGTCCAATAAGAGGTTGGTTAAATAAATAAGGGCAGTGATGTAAAAGAAAGAAAATAATGGACATTTGCCCTGTTATTAAATAAAGCTAGTTTACAAAATGCTATGGTCCTGTTTTTATCTAACTATAATTTAAATATCATTTTCACTTATGTTTGCACAATGTTTGTCATATCACATATCCACCTAATTGTTACTTGGTGTTGTTTTAAAGTCAACTATCTGCTTTTCCTACTCAGCTTTCTTCTAAACAATATTAGAAAAAAACATTCAAATGTTAATTTTTTCATGCATATTAGAATAACTTGATGACTATTAATATAGAAAAATTGCATTTTCATGTGATCTAAGGTCATCCCTCATTCTCTTAGTGGAATGCATATCAAACTTAAATTCTCTTAAAGAAGCTTGTAGAGGGTGTATAATACAATTATAATCATGTAAACCTTGCCAGTAATTTTGCTTGTGTTTCTTTGCTTTTCTGTGTTTTCTGTATTTTCTAAAATAAATATGGATTAACTCCTTCTATAATAGAAAAGTATTTTGTGGCTTAGGTAGTTTTAAATCAAGAATTAACATTAAGTGTTTCTCTATAAATGTCTGCATTTCTTTATGGATTGAGAAGATTGTCAATGTCCTGAAATGTCATTTAAATCAGTAGTAATGTCATTAAATAACAAATTTCTTAAAAGCAAAACATGGGAAGAAATTTAACTCATAAAAGTAATGATAGTTTAAAATTAGGCTTATAACAAAAATTAATTTGTTTTATTCTTTTACAGGAGTTAAAACCTGATACAGTAACTAAATCTGCTCTTGGTGATGATATCAACTTTGAAAAAATCTGCAAAAAGGTATTTCTGCAGTGGGTTGTATTTCTTTTAAAAGTTCATTATTTATATTGTTGACCTACTTTTTTCTTGTCACTTTTTTCCTTGAAGAGAAAACTGATCAAGAAGCCGTTTACTATTGGTATCTATAATGACCTTTCCCCACTTTAGCTCCCCCAAAATTAAGCACCCCCAGAATTTTTACGGTCATGTATGAATTTTCCTTTGCTGTGATATCATACCCTCAAGGATCTTAAAGATATGTTGAACTGGATATGGCTTTTATGTGTTAGATAACAGTTAGTCTGTTAATCTTACTAATTAGAACAAAGACTCTTTGTTCTTTTCAAATAGTTTTCATGAATATTTTATTTAATCCCTGAATTCACCGTAAGAAAATTATTTTTACCCCTTTTTTATAAGTGAGGAAACTGAAGCTCAGAAAGAATGAGGTGAGCTAATTAAGGCTAACCATTGTTACGTGCACAGTTGGGACTTTCAGGTGTATCTTCTGCTCCTTGGATTTGTCACTCCTGCTTCATCCTTAGTATTTCCTTTTTGTTTGTACCTACTTTGCTAAATTCTACATAAGACAGTTCCACATAAGAACAGATTTTGGATTAATTGATTTTTAAACTCTGTTAGTACTTTTCTGTTTTCACTTTCATTCACATTTGCTCTAATCTATACTGTTTCTTCTTGCATTTGTGTTTACTTTGCTCTTTCTCTAGTTTCCTAATGTAGAAGCTCAAATTGCTGATTTAAACTTTTCTTTTTTTCCAATATAAGAATTTAATGCTGTAAATTTCCCTCTAAGCACCGCTTTAGCTACATTTTATAAATATGATGTGTTGTGCTTTATTTTCTTTGAGTTCAAAATGTTTTAATTTAACCTTGAAACTTCATCTTTGACTCATGTTTAATTAGAAGTATATTGTTTAATTTCTGAACAGTTGGGGGTTTTCCAGGTATTTTTTTGTTACTGTTTCCTTTATGATCCACGAGCATGCTTTTTATCATTTTTATTCTTTTAACTTTATTATTTGTGTTATATGTCCAGAGTATGGCTTATCTTGGTGCATATTTCATGTGCACTTGAATTGTTATATTGGGGTTAGTGTCCTATAAATGTCATTTAGGTCAAACTGATTGATGGTGTTGCTCAGGTGATTTATATCTTTACTCATTTTTTGTCTGCCTATTTCAGTGATTATTAAGAAAGATAGGTTGGAATTTCCAACTATAAATGTCAGTTTTCCTTTTCCAGCCTTAAGGAAAGTAATACTCTGATTCTATGTTCATGTAGACTAGCACTCACTTCTCTATAATTAATTGTTATTAATTATGTTAATATTTTAAAGCATTTTATTGTAAGAAGGCGAGAACATAAAAGGTTTTTGTATGCTTAAGGGGAGGGAGGATTTGTTGTTGTCATCTTCCTGGTCCTTATCAGAAAAGTGACACAAAAGAAGTCATGAGCATGATTTTACAAACAGCTTACTTATTTTATACTAACATGATTTTATAGTAAATATTTTATTTCATAGCATTCATTCATAGAGAAGAAAAAATTTTAGTACTATTATAGTTTTAAACTTGTGGCTTGGTCTGTATTTCTGACAAAATAATGACATGTTAAATAGAATAGTGGTAATTGTATAAAAATAAGGCAGAATATATTTGTTTTCTCATGAGAGTTTAAAGAAATCATAATTTTAAGATTTTTACCAGGATAAATTTTTTGAACTTTCTGTTTGCTGAATTCTGAAATTATCTTACTAAGGCTTAATTTGTGATGAGAATAAAAAAATTTATTTGTAGTTCCCTAATATTATGTTTCTATTTAAATTTTAGCAATAAAACTTCACAATATTTATCATTTAACTTGAACTTGAAAATATCTATAATAAAATAACATTTGTCTTTTTTTTTTTTTAACTTTTCAGCCAGATAGTTTTCACTTTGGAAGGTTACTATTAGTTAATGTATGTGTAGTATTTGTAAAATCAGATTTTTAGGATATCTTCTTTCATTTACAACCCTTTGTTCAACCTTCCAGTGTATGAAATGTCATCCTAAAAGTGGGGAAATGTGCCTACATTTGCTTAAACATTTTTATTTTGCAAAACTTAATTCTTTTGCATATTACTAGATTTTTAGTCATAAGATTTATGATAGTAATTCAGATAGAAAGTTTAAGATCTAACTGAAATACTGTCAAGTGAAACCTGATTATGTTTTTGCCCTTTTTGTACCTTCTTCCAAACAGAAGGAAGGAAGGGGGGAGGAGGACAAGGACGAAAGGAAAACAGTTCTGTTTCATCAAAGTTCTTGATAGAATCCTTGAGGATTTAGAGCCAAGGGAAATTGCCCTGCTTAAGAATAATTCCAGATTCCTCCCAAGCCATTTGATTTCAGCTACTTTGTTACTGTTTTATTTCATTTGTTATATCCTTTCATTGGATTCATGTTTTTCTGTGTCAAAATATATTAATAAATTAAATCTCTAAACTAAAGATGAGGCAGGCTTGGAGTGTCATGGAGGGAGACTGATTATTTGCCATAGGAGGGAAGGTTAGTGGAGGATGACCAAATAGGAAATAAGTCTAGAGCTCTGTACATTTGAAACTGTCTGACCATCAGAATAGAGCAGAACAGACTAATTTGTGTAACATTTTACAGCTTGCACAGTTCTTTCATATACATTCTTATCTCAATTGATCTTAAAACAATAATCTCATAAAGAAAACGTCCATGTGTGCACATGTGTGTGTGTAGCAATAGTAATAGTGTCTTCATTTTTCAAACATAGAAAGGGATTAGAAAGGTTAAGTAGCCAGTTAATATTTATATGAGAGTTTTAAAGCTAGAGAGTCTGGGGGCTAGTACTGTGACATTTCCAGACAGCTATTGCCAGAATTTCAAGGGCTTCTCAATTTAAAACATCTGTTGTGTGCAGAGTGATCACTAGGCACTATGGAAGATAGGAAGGGAATAGAAGACACAGAATATTTTCTAGGAGAATATGTAATCTAGTAGAAAATAAAAAAGTTATATTAAACAACTACAGGATAAGAGGAAGCAAATTTTGTCAACATCTACCAGTTGTCTGACTCATTAGATCCTAATATCTATGTATTAGCTTTCTCAGGGAAGATGATGGTACCACTGTTAACAGATGAGAGGCAACAGGCCCAGAAAGGTCAAAATACACCTATGGTTAGTCAGTAGAAGATGTCAGATCCAAGGTGTAAAACCAGATCTCTGCCTATAAAACAAAAATTTAGGACGAAAGGATGGAGTAAGTCCCATATATGTAAGACTACATTTTGGAATCATGGGGTCGTAGAGATTTTGAGTTTAGTGAATACAGAAAAGTCTCCTTTTCCCTTAAATATGGACTCTAAGCCTTATTTTGCTTTGTTTGCCACAATTCTGATCCAGGTGAAGGGACTGTTTTTTATTATGTCCCTAAATGTTTTTAATAAATACAAATATGAATGTATTGGTTTATATTTTTAGGTAAAACCTAGAATTGAAGTCCAGTTAATATTAAAAGTACTGCTACTAGCATTCTACCTCTACCAGTTGATTTAGAGTCAGTTTGTTTTAAAGCAGCATTTCAAAGGAATGAATGTTTCATGTAAGAGAGCTATTTCATTTTTAGACTCTTGTTTATACTCACATGTACATTCTCAAGATTCTTTTCAAAATTGAACACCAAATACTTTGTGTTCACGATAAATACCCTATGCCAAGATAAAACTTTTCCACTAAATGATGAGGTGTTTCCCTTTTTTATTTAATTTATTTGAAATGGAAGAAACTGGAGGTGTGTGAAAACCACAGTTTCCTGAGAATTTTCCAAGGCAAACACTGTGTCAACTTTAAATAAGGAAAGCTGTGGCTTCCTTCATATCCCCTAATATTGTGAAGACTGGTTCACACAGGTGTTAAAAACTATTTGTTAATAGAGACTACTTAGCCTTTTAAGCTTCAAAATAATTTTATTTAAATTTAAGTTGTATGGCTGTATTTGAATTCTTCTATAAACCTCCACAACATTTTCATTTTCTCCTATAAAATTTAGCACAATCTGCCTTGGATTAGTTACTTGTACATTTGTTTTAACCTTTTAAATTAGTGCTAGATTGTGAGCCTCAAAAAATGATGTTTGTATTCTTATGTGTAAGACCATGCCTGTACATAATAAGGTGTGTTTATGTAAATATAAAGAAGGAGAAAGTAAGTGAGGAAGGAAGATAGACAGGAAAGAAATAAGGAGGGATAAAGGATTTGAAGTCTTTCATGGCAGGGGCTGTTCTACTTTTTCTTGTGAGTTCCTACACTTAAGCTCAGCGCCTTAAGCAAAATGCAGACATCCCAAACTGCAGCAGAGACCCAAAACACTGCCAAAGGTATGACCCCCAGCCCCCTTGATTAACAAGCCTTTTTTTAATGTTTATATTTAATTTCTTTACAAAAAGATTTGAAGGGGGCTTGGAGTTGGGTCATAAAATGAGAGAAAGTTATCTCAAATAGTTTAGAAGTAAACTTGTTGAGAATACTAAACTGAATTCAGAAACCTGACTTTGACTTCTAGGTTGTTCCTAACTGGCTCGGTGGTCTTAAAATCAAGACTGTTAGTCTAATTGTTAGATAAAATTTTTGATCTGTATTTCCTTTACCTCTTATTAAAATTTGAACTTAAAAAAATTAAATGAATTATTTCTAATTGCTTTTTTAAGAATAAAGGTAAGTGTTAAATTTGACAATTTTTTACTTAGGAGAAATTTTTAAATTTATTTAAATGATTGCTGTAATTTATAAAAATTTGGTATTTTTAATTAAGACTTTTTCCGAATCACGTATTTTAAGGACTACAGGCATACCTCTGAGATATTGAGGGTTCAATTCCAAACTACCTCAATAAAGCAAATAACAGCAATAAAGCAAATCACAAATTTTTAGTTTTGCAGTGCGTATAGAAGTTGTGTTTATACTATACCATAGACTGTTAAGTG